TAGTTATGTTTAGTGACTGCCCTAACAACTCTCTTAGGCAACCCTGGGAAAGTCTAAATTGACATCAAGCAAGACAAGTTTTTCTGTTGTCCTTGGGTCACTTAGCCCCAACATGGCCCAACACTATGGAACATATTAAGTTTTGTGTGGCACCAAGGCATTGGAGAAAAGTATTGCTTGGAAGATGAAGAGTTTGTGTTTGTGTGTGGGGGTCAGGGTTGAGTTTGGGGCTTCTCCTCCATACTGTTTAAACACTTCAGGAAGTGTTTCTAAAGAATGGTCAATGCACTGTAATCAAAACAGCCTGGTAGTAGCATAAGAACAGACACATAGACTAATGAAACAGAACAGAGAACCCAGAAATAAACCTAAGTCTCTATGGTCAATTAATATTTGACAAAAAGAAAAGAAGCATAAAATGGAGTAAAAATAAACTCTTCAACAAATGGCGTTGGGAAATCTGGATAGCTACTTGTAAGCAAATGAAATTCGAGTATCAACTTACACCATGTATATAAATAAATTCAAGGTGGATAAAAGATTTAAATATAAGTCATGACACCATTAAAGTCCTAGAGAAGAACATAGGCAGGAAAATCTCAGCTATTTCATGCAGCAATATTTTCACTGATATGTCTCCTGGAGCAAGGGACATAAAGGAAAGAATAAACAAATGGGATTTCATCAAAATAAAAAGCTTCTGTATGGCTAAAGAACACAGTATTAAAATGAAAAGAAAACCAACTGTATGGGAAAATGTACTTGCCAATGATACCTGAGACAAGGGTTTGATCTCCACATTATATAAGGGACTCACACAACTCCACTCTAAGAAGACAAACAACCCGATTAAAAAATGGGCAAAGGGCCCTGGCTTGCATAGCTCAGTGGATTGAGTGCAGGCCTGTGAACCAGAGTATCGAGGTTCGATTCCCAGTCAGGGCATATGCCTGGGTTGCAGGCCAGTTCCCAGCAGGGGATGCATGAGAGGCAACCATACATTGATGTTTCTCTCCCACTCTTTCTCCTTCCCTTCCCCTCTCTCAATAAATAAATAAAATATTTTAAAAAATGGGCAAAGGACTTGAACAGACACTTCTCTGAGGAGGACATACAGAAGGTCCTGAGACATAAAAGGATGCTCGGTATCACTAGCTATGAGAGAGATGCAAATTAAAACCGCACTAAGATACCACTTCACACCAGTCAGAATGGCCATCATAAACAAAGCAACAAACAACTGGTAGAGAGGTTGTAGAAAAAAGGGAACCCTAGTGCACTATTGGTGGGATTGCAGACTGGTACAACCACTATGTAAAACAGTATGGAATTTCCTCAGAAAACTAAAAGTGGAACTGCCTTTTGACCCAGCCAATTCCACTGTTAGGATTTTATCCTAAGAACCCTGAAACACCAACCCCAAAGAACCTGTGCACCCCAATGTTCATAGCAGCACAATTTACAATAGCCAGGTGCTGGGAGCAACCTAAGTTTCCATCAGTAAATGAGTAGATCAATAAACTGTGGCACATGTACACAATGGAATACTATGCAACAGAGAGAAAGAAGGAGCTCCTACCCTTTGCAACAGTGTGGATAAAACTGAAAAGCACTATGATAAATGAAATAAGCCAGGTGGTGAGGGACAAATACCATATGATCTCACCTTTAACTGGAACATAATCAATAAAAAAAGGAAACAAAATATACCCAGACACATTGCAATTAAGAACAATATAACAATACCCAGAGAGGAGCCAGGAGGAGACAGTGGAGGGGAGGGTTTTAGGAACTACTATAAAAGACACATGGACAAAACCAAGGGGGGGTGGAAGTAAGGGACGGAGGTAAGTTTGGCTGGGGTAGGAGGGAGTGGCGGGGGGAAATGCAGACAACTGTAACTGAACAATAAAATAATTTTTAAAAATGGCCAATGATGTGAATGAAAAAAAATCACTTGATTCTGAAACCTTTCTGCCTTTTCCCCAAACCTTACTGTACTCGGCAACCTCAAGGTACAGCCTCCCAAACAAAAGAAGTGTGTGTTATAATTAAGCTGGTCCCTCCTTTGGTATGACTAAGGTTGACTAGGATTTGTGGCACTGGGCAAGGCTTTTGGGCCTCTCCCTTTCTCTGACCAAACTACAGTCCAACTAAGGCTTCTACTTCAAACCTGAGATACAACTAGGAACACTGCTGAGGGAGAAAGAGAGCCCTATTCCTGTGAACTGTCTTTTCAAAGCCCCTATATATAGTGCATTGTTTTTAACAGATGAAGATCATGGGTATTTTTGAATTCGGGTGGTTTCTTAGTAGATTATGAGTAAGACCCCAAATTTTCCACCTGTTTCTGCCCTACCTTGCTACCTCTTCAGGAAATCAAGTATATATATATCCTTTCCACAGTTAAAATCACCATGCAAATATCAGGAATTACTATACAAATTCCAGGACAAACCTACTGAAAGACCTGATGCAATTAAGCTGATTTGGACAGGATCCCAGGCTTGCCTAGGTTGCCTGTGCTGTTGCTGGGTAGCTCATCTCTGTGAATATAGAAATATTCGGATTTTCTACCTGGTGAATGTGAGTGTATGTGTGTTTGAACTCTCCTGGGGCAGTGTAAAACCAGAGGCCACATCTGTGAAAGTGGTTCAAACACAAAAATGGAAGTGACTATGAATAATTTAAGCCCAGATTTACCTGGCTTCTAGGTGATTTTACTCACATGGCCTGGTCTACTCAAACACCATCCAGGTCAAAATGTAATTGAGATTTAAATATTCAGGAGCACTCTTTTCTCTACTCTTTTTATAACCTTGACCATAGTGGTAAGTGGAATATATAGACTAAAGTTCAGTGTAATATCATATAGGCAAAGAAAGACTGGCATAAGGAACCCAGACATTAAAGGCATTTTCCCTTTCCCATTAGCAGGGTTGCTCAACCTGAGCACTATGGACATTTTTGGCCAGGGGATTCTTTATTGTTGGGGACTGTCCTATGCATTGTAGGATGTTTAGCAACATCTCTGGCCTCTATCCTCAAGATGCCAATATTACCCCCATCTTGTTACAAACAAAAATGTCTCTACGTATTCCCAAATGTTCCCTACATGGAAAAACATCCTTTCCATTGAGAACCACTACCATTTAAGGTAATCTCACATTTTAAATACTATATTTTACTTTCATTCTACTCATATGGCATATCTGTATCTTTTTGAAAAGATTTTTATTTATTTATTTATTTATTTATTTATTTATTTATTTATTTATAGACAGAGGGGAAAGGAGGGAGAAACAGAGGAAGAGAAACATCAATGTGTAGTGTGCTCCTCTACGGGGGACCTGGCCAGCAACCCAGGCATGTGCCCTGACTGGGAATCAAACCAGCGACCCTTTGGTTCACAACTTGGCAGGCACTCAATTGAATGAGCCACACCACCAGAGCCATAACTGTATTTTGTATTGAACAGAATCTCAGAAGATATGAGTACATTTTGTGATGAAACAATATAAGAAAGAATCCTCATGAATTAATAAAATTTGACAAATGTTTAAATTCATTATTGCCACCTCTCCATCACCATCTAATTTTTGTGGAGCACTCACTATGAGTAAGGCGTTGATTGTAGCAAAGATTTATAAGGCATAATCCTAGCTTTCAATATACTAAGGCACTATCAACTTTTACATCCCCAAAGGGGAAGGGTTATAGATATTCATGGATAACTAGTTTCTGGATTGAATTCCACCTAGCTTTGTCCTTTTATATCCCTATTAACCCAAAACAATGAAGTATTCTTTAAGGTTCTTCCTTAGGGAGATTGCTCTTCATCTTGCTAATTACCATAGCCCCTGTTGAAATTTAGATAGATGTAGATAGATAGATTTAGATAAATAGATCTATATACCTACAGATCTATTTATATAAGTAGATCTATATCTATCTATCTATCTATCTATCTCTCATCTATCTATCTATCTATCTATCTATCTATCTATCTATCTATCTATCTATCTACATTTATCTATATCCATATATCTTGTCTTGTCCAGTTTAGGCTGTTATAGCAGAATAGCATAGATTGGGTGGCTTAAATAATAAATACTGATTTTTCAGTCTTGAGGTTTGGATTTCCAATATTAAGATGGTAGCAGATTCTATGTCTGATGAAGACCCTATTCCTGGTTGGCCAGCACCTGCTTTCTTTCTGTGTTCTTACAGGGTAGGCAGTGGTAGGGTGAAAGAGAGGGAGAAAGGAAGGAAGTGAGGGATGAGGGAGAAGAAGATGGAGAGGGAGAGAGAGGGCACACTCTCTGGTCTTTCCTTATAAAAGGCACTAATTCTCTTGCTGGGGGCTCCACCGTCATGACCTCATCAAAACCAAACTACATCCTGAAAGCCTCACTTCCAAATACCATCACATTGGAAATTATTAAGGCTAGAACATATAGGTTTTAGAGGGACATAAACATTTAGTCCATAGCAATTGCATTTTATTCTATCCATTCATTAGGTGATGAACATTTGTTTTGTTTCCACTGTTTGGCTATTACTAATAATGCTGCTCTAAATACTTGTGTACATGTATTTGTTTGAATACCTGTCTTCAGTTATTTTGGGCACATACTTAGGAGTAGAATTGCTGGGTCATATGGTAATTTTATGTTTAATATTTTGAGGAACCAAAAAACATTTCCACAGTAGCTACACAATTTTATATTCCAACTAATAGTGTACAATGGCCCCAATTTTTCCACATCCTTGTCAACACTTGTTATTGTCCATCTATTACATTAGAGCCACCCTAGTGGGTATAAAGTGGTATCTTATATGGGTTTTTATTTGAATTTCCCTAATGGTTAGTGATGTTAACATCATTTCATGTGCTGTTGGCCAATGTGTATCTTTTTTTGAGAGATGTTTATTTAAATTGTTTGCACATTTTCAATAATATAACATTTTTATATTTAGAATTAGCCAGCTGGACTCATTTAGATGATCCCAATTTTGTTGGCAACATCCAAAGCATCATAGTCTGGAGCCAGTTGAACATATGCCTTCTTCTCCCCATCAGTCCTGATCAGATGTTGACCTTGGCCACATCAGTGTCATACAGCTTTTTCACAGCCTATTTGGTCTGATGCTTATTGGCCTTGACATCCACAATGAACACAAGTGTATTGTTGTCTTCTATCTTCTTCATGGCTGACTCAGTACTCACATGGAACTTTATGATGGCATACTGCTCACCCTTGTTTCTCTATGGGCTGCTCTTCCGAGGATATTTAGGCTGCCTTCGGAGCTGCAGTGTCTTAGGCCTCTAGAAGGTGAGTATTGTGTGGATCTTCATTTTTTGTGTATGGTTGTGGATGCCTTTTAGTACTGCTTTCTCTGCCTTCAAAGCCTTTGCTTTAGCTTCAGCTTTGGGGGGAGCAGGGGCTTCCTTCTTTTCTTTGGGTGCCATCTTTGTGAAAAGTGTTTCCTAGACTCCTCTTTTGTACATTTTTAATTGAATCAATTGTCTGTTAGTTATTGAATTGTAATACTTCTTTATATATACTGAATACTATACCCTTATCCAATATATGATTTTCAAGTATTTTATCTCATTCTATAGGTTGTACTTTTACTCTCTTGTTAGTGTCCTCTAATATACAAAATGTTTTAATTTTGATGAAATCTAATTTATCTGTTTTTCTTTTCTTGCTGTGATTTTGGTGTCATATTTAAGAAACCATCACATAATTTAAGGTCATAAATATAATGAAAAACTCTGGGTTTTAAAAAATGTTTTAGCTCTTATGTTTAAGTCTTTGATTTACTTTAAGTTAATTTTTGCATATGATGTGAGATGGGGTCAATCTTCATTCCTTTGCATTTGGATATCTAGCTGTCTCAGCATCCCTTGTTGAAGAGACAATTCCTTTTCCATTGCATGATCTTGGCACCTTGTCACAAGTCAATTTGTCATGGATACATGGGCTTATTTCTAGATTCTCAGTTCTAATCCACTGGTTTAATTTATGTATCCATGTGCCAATACCACACAATTTTGATTACTGTATCTTTGTATTATTTTTAAAATAATTTTTAGAAACTTTTAAAGTTATAGTTTACATTTGATATTATTTTTAAATATATTTTATTGATTGTGCTATTACAATTGTCCTAATTTTTCTCCCTTTGCTCCCTTCCACCTGGTGCCTCATTTCCCTCCAGCAATCCCTCCATTTTTTTCATGTCTATGAGTCATGCATATAAGTTCTTTGGTTTCTTCAGTTCCTATACAGTTCTCTACATCCCCTCTATTTTGTACCTAGCAATTTGTGCTTTTTAATTCCTGCACCTTTTCCTCCACTTTCTACCTTCCCCCTCGCAACTGATAACCCTCCAAATGATCTCAATATCTATAATGCTATTTCTGTCGTGCTTAGTTTTTTTTTAAGATTCAATTATTGATAGTTGTGAATTTATTGCTATTTTAATGTTTATAGTTTTAGTTTTCTTTTCTTTAAATAAGTCCCTATAACATTTCATATAATAAGGGCTTGGTGATGATGAACTCCTTTAGTTTTACCTAGTCTGGGAAGCACTTCATCTGCCCTTCCATTCTGAATGATAGGTTTGCTGGATAGAGTAATGTGGGTTGTAGGTCTTTAATTTCTCTTGTTGCTTTGAAGATTCTCTATCTGTAAACTTTTGCATTTTAATTATGATGTATCTTGGTGTGGTCCTCTTTGGGACTCTGGACTTGTATGTCTATTTCCTTCATGAAAGGTAAGTTTTCCTTCATTATTTTTTCAAATAAATTTTCAGTTTTTTGCTCTTTCTCTTTTCCCTTCCAACATCCCTATGATTCAAATGTTGGTACATTTTAAGATGCTCCAGATTAGCCTTAGCCTATCCTAATTTTTTAAAAATATATATTTTCACTTCTTGCTGTTCTGATTGAATGCATTTTTCTTCCTTACATTCCAAATTGTTGATTTTATTCTCAGCTTCATCTCCTCCACTGTTGGTTCCCTGTGGATTTTTCTTTACTTCACTTAATATAACCTTCATTTCTGCCTGGGTCTTTTTTATGTCATTGAAGTAACCAATGAGCTCCTTGAACATCCTTGATAACTGGTATTTTGAACTCCGCATCTGATAGATCATTTATATCCATTTCATTTAGTTTCTTTTCTGAAGTTTTGTTCTGTTCTTTGATTTGGATGATATTTCTTTATCTCCTCATCTTGGCAGCCTCCCTGTGTTTGTTTCTGTATATTAGAGCTTCTTTGACTCCCTGTTTTAGTAGCATGGCCTATTGTAGAAGTGCATACCTGTCTGGATGAATGTGGCTTCTTTAATTCTTTGGTTGTCAGACTTCCATATGGCTCAATTTTCTGACAATTCTTGGTGATATTTGTTTTGTGGTGTAGTTGTGATTTTTGCTGTAGTTGTGTGAGGAAGTAAGGCATATTTACCTACACCTCCAACTTGACCAGAAGTCTTATATTTAATATTATTTTTATTAGTTTCAGGTGTAAAGCATAGTGCTCAGACAATCATACTTTGCAACATGTCCCTTGTAATACTTCCAGTACCCACATGGCACCGTGCATAGTTATCACAATATTACTGACTATATTCCCTATGCTATACTTTACATGCCTATGACTATTATGTACTACCAATATACACTTCTCAGTCCTGTCACCTTTCGAATCCAGTCCTTGAACCCCCCACCCTCTGGCAACCTGTATCTAAGAGTCTGTTTCTGTTTGTTCATATTGTCCCTTAGATTCTACATATATGTAAAATCATATGTTGCCTTTCTCTGACTGACATATTTTGCTTAACACAATGCCCTCTAAGTCCATCCATGTTGTTACAAACAGAAATATTTCACTTTTTATAGTCGAGTAACATTCCATTGTACATATCGCCACAGATTTTTTTTTTTTACCCAAGTCATCTATTGATGGGTACTTGGGTAGATACTACGTCTCTGCTATTGTAAATAATGTTGCAATGAATATAAGGGTTCATATTTTTGAATTAGTGTTTTGTGTTCCTTCAGCTATGTACTCAGAAGTGGAATTATTGGGGCACAAGGCAGTTTTATTTTTAATTTTTTTAGGAACCTCCATACTTTTTTTCCCATAGTATATGCACCAATCTACATTACCACCAATACTAGATGAAGGTTCCCTTTTCACCACATCCTTGTTAACACCTGCTATTTGTGGATTAATTGATGATACCTAATATGACAGGTGTAAGGTGATATCTCATTGTGGTTTTAATGTGCCTTTTTCTGATGATTAGTGACATTGAGCATGTTTTATATGTCTGTTGCTCATCTGTATCTCTGTTTTAGAGAAGTATATATTCATGTTCTTAACATTTTAAAAATCGGATTATTTGTATTTTTGTTGTTGACTGTCTGACTTTGTAATTATTTTGGATATTAACCACTTATTGGATTTATCATTGAAAAATATTTCCTCCCATTCACAAGGATGTTTTTCAGTTTGTGAATGGTTTCCTTTGCTGTGCAAAACTTTTTAAAATTAAAGATATTAAAAATATTTTTAGAGATGATGAAAGAGAGGGAGAAAGAGAGGAAGAGAAACATCGATCAGTTGCCTCTTGCATGTTCCCAAATGGAGACATGGCGAGCAACCCAGGCATATGTCCTGACCAGGAATCAAACCAGTGACCTTTTGGCTCACTGACCAGTCCTCAATCCACTGAGCTACATGAGTCAAGGCTATGCAAAAGCTTTTTAGTTTGATGTAGTCCCATTTGTTTATTTTTGTTTGTTTGTTTTCCTTCCCCAAGGACATTTATCAGAAAAAATATTGCTAGGAAAACTATCTGAGATTTTACTGCTCATGTTTTCTTCTAGTAGTTTCATGGTTTTGAGTCTTCTATTTAAGTCTTTTACTTATTTTGAGTTTATTCTTGTATATTAATTGACCACATGGGCAAAGGTTTATTTCTGAGCTCTATTTTATTCCACTGATATATATCTCTATTTTTATGCCAGCACCTTGCAATTTTAAAGAGTATAAACTTGTAGTATAGTTCGATATCAGAAAACATGATTCCTCTAACTTTGTTTTTTACTCTCAAGATTATTGTGACTATTTGGAGTCTTTTGTGTCTCCATATGAATTTTTGTGTTATTTATTCTAGTTCTATGAAACATACCATTATTATTTTGATAGGAATTGCTTTGAATTTAGAGATTATATTGTGTTGTATGGACATTTCAATTATGTTAGTATTTGCTATTTATGAAAATTATATATGAGGAAGGACTCAAAAATAAACCAGAATTTATTTTTTTAAAAATTGTGTATTTATTCCTACATGTTTAAACTTCAGTCGCCTCAACGATCTCTACATTTTGTACAGTACACCTATTGAAATGCTTTCCCACAGCTCAAAACAGTTTTTGAACTAATCTATTTTGATGCCTTTTAGTGCTTCCATCATTTTTTGCTTCATCTTCTCCATATCAGCAAAACATTTCCCTTTGCAGACTTTCTTCATCCAGGGAAACACAAAAAGTTCCTCAATGTGATATCAGGTGAATAAGGAGGATGGAGCATGTGGGTCATACCATGTTTGATAAAAAACTGATGAACACTCAGTGCAGTGTGAGTAGGTGTGCTTATAAATCATTTATCATGAATGGGAATACACATTGAAAGAGACTTTGAAAAATTTACTGAAGCTGAACGCAACCTCTCACAACAATGCCAGGTGGTACTGATACATATGGGTTCCTAGAACACTCACCTAGCAGGGGAAGCCTGTACTACAAGGAGCTTGCCCTCCAGAAGGTAATTCATTTTTTTGGCTCCCCTTCCATGTTTTGTTTATTTCTATCGTTTTCAATTTCTTTATAAGTCTTTGATAGTTTTCCAAGTACAAATATTTTACCTCCTTGGTTAAATTTATTCCTAGGTATTTTGGTTTATTTTGATACAATTATAAATAAGATCATTTTCATAGTTTTTTCTATCTTAGAGTTCATTGTTGCTATGTAAAATGTAATGAAAGACAAATGCCATATGGTCTCACCTATAAGTGGAACCTAATCAACAAAACAAACAACCAAGCAAAATATAACCAGAGACATTGAAACAAAGAACAAATTGACAGTAACCAGAGGATAGGAATGAGGAAGGTAATGGGGGAAAGAAAGGAAAGGGTCATCAAGGAACATGTATAAAGGACCCCTGGACAAAACTAAAGGGGGTAAGGATGGAGGGTAGGAGGTGGGGGTGGGTGGGGTGGGGGAAAGTGGTTGTGGGAAAATGTAGACAACTGTATTCAAACAACAACAATAAAAATAATAATATGGTATTGCATATTTGAAAGTAGCTAGGAGAGTGGATATTTAAGGTTCTCATTACAAAAAATTAAAATATGTATGGTGACATGTTAAATGGACTATTGTGATGA